AAAATGTGGCGGAGATTCGAAGAACTTCGGTGGTACGTTCTGCGATAAAAGGATTTGTCCAGTCGCCTAACGAGCCAACCCAACCGTATTTCATCTCTGGAAATCGCATGTGTAGCATTATGTGAGGGAAATATTTTTTGACGGAAGATGATGGCGTCATTTGTAATGATTTGATGGCTGGCGTCTATAAAAGTACCGATGAATGCGATTGTTAACCAAAGAACGCGCGATCGTATCTCTTTTTTTTAATTAACCAAAATAAAAAAGAATACTTGCCATGTCTTCCAAATCCCCCGCAGTAAGTATTGCTACAGGACATCTTATATCCTTTAGATCTGCCAACGAAAACCAAGGGGTATGAACGAATACAGCCGCGCTGAATAAATCACACTCGGCAGCAGCAATCGAGGCGAGTTTTCCTCCACCGCCTGCTCCGAAGATTCCGAAATGAATGAAACCTTGGCCTTGTAGAGTTGTCAAGATTTTCTTCATAATCAAGTGGATTCTCTCGAACGTGGTTTCAGATGTTACGATACCCATGAACCATTCGTAACATTGTTTGCTACTGTAATTTTTGGGAATTTCTCGTAATTAGCATCCTTATTTAAATGTATCATTTTGAATCTGATGATTATTTTAATAATTTGTCAATACCTTTCTCTTATTGCTCGCTCTCTCGTATATGGAAGCTCATCACCGAATAGATAAGGCATAAAAACCTTATACCCTTGACCAGCAATCATGTCGCAAATTTGTTCCATTTGTGGCGTTTGTCCAAATTTATCATGTGCCACTATGACAGCATTTCTCACTTGTGGTCCAATAGTGTACACCTTTATTCCGTGAATTGTAATGTACGAGCCTCTGGAAGTTTGCTCCGGTCTTATTTGTGGTACATTGACCGTTGGAGAAAAATATGTGGTGTTTGGCATTTGTGCTGGGTATATGTGATGAGAAGAAAAAATCTTCCGTTGGATTAACTGTTCTCGGTAATGGTATTGATTAATTGCAGCTGTGCTTTTTCTATAACTAAATTATCCTGGATGACGAAATTTTTCGTTTGTCGAAATAATTCCAGCGATAATTAAGCGTGATCAAAAAAAAACTTTTGTGAGAATAAAAAATAAAGAGCGAGAAAGAATTAATTTTATCTTTTACGTAATTACGAAAATCTTTTGGGGAAAAAAGAAAATCTTGGAGGAAAAAAGAAAGGATGGAAGGAATGAGAAAAAAGAAAGGGATAGCAATGTTTGTTCACAAGGTTATTTAATGGGTTATATTGTTGGTATTATGTAATACTGATATTATTTTGTATTGCAATAAAATAAAATAATAGAATGTTTTGATTTCTATTATTATTATTATTATTATTATTATTATTATTATTATTATTATTATTATTATTATTATAATATTTGCAAGAATTTATTCTTTATTAGATGAGAAAAAGGTCGCGAGTATATGAAATTCGGTAAAGATCATCTCTAAGGATTGAGACGACACCAATATGGGATTATTTTAGTGTAATAAGAATGGGATAGAAAGGTTGAATGACAGATACGTACTGTAGTTGAGAAAGGAAAAGCTTAGAATTACTATAATTAGATAGAAAGAGCGAGGGGAGAGATTTCCTAGAGGAGGAGACTTTTTTTACCTTACTGTTTTGACGTTTTCGACTTTGGTGTCCTCGTTTCTTTATATTATAGTCTATTTTTTATTTTAATTTTTAATAACTTGATGAATAATACAATGGACAAGAAGTTCTTCTGGATCTAGAACGTGAGCCGATTTTGGTCGTCGTAAGTATTAAATATTTTGTTTCGTTTATAGATATGGCACGTGAATTTAATTATTATTGTTGTTGAATGTTTTTATAAACATTTATACTATTATTAATAATAGTAATATATATAAGTATACAGATTTATCTGTGTTTTTATTTAAGTGTGTTTTATTATCTTTCAGTACAAATGTACATCTTTTTTTTTAAAAATCACGATATCAATGTAAATTGATATTTATTAATAATGATCATAAATTGATTTTTGAAAAAAAAGACATACATAAGTACAAATAGAAAATAGAAAAAAGTTTGAACCAGTTTAAATCATCTTTTTTTTCGAATCAAAAAATGCATTAAGCATATTAATACTATCACTATTTTGTTCTAGCATTTTCTGGCACCTTCCCTGTTTCTTGCTTTATTTCTTGCTTCCCCATTCATTCACTCATACAACCCATACACTCATGCTGTGTTTAAATAATACATATTATTATTTATCTTCATGATCGTGTCATACTTCTAAAGAGGATAAATAAGAACGAGGGAGAGAAATGCGTCAGATTTAGGTATCGGTCTCGACCGTTCATCAAATTCTCAAACTTAAGAGTGCTAGTGAGAGATACGTAATTCTTTATCGACCAGAATTGATAAAGCCCAATTCGAATTCGAAAGTTGCGAGTTCTAATAACAAGAATTTCTTGAGTGAATCCAGAATTGGGATGAAAACCCTCCATATAATATATATATATATATATACTGTGTGTGTATATACTGTGTATATATATATGTGTGTGTGTGTGTGTATAATATAAAATATAATATAATATATAATATAATACATAATATATATAATATTAACGTTTAAATAACTTCTATACTAATATAAAATATTCAGTATAAAAAAAATGATGGAGACAATGAACGAAGAATAATTGTCATACTAAATAAATCAATAAATATGTGCGAGCACCATCGCATGTACATAATAAATATGCAATAGTAATAATGGAGCAGTCTAGACTTGTCATCATTTCAATTGATAGTCAGGAACAACAGGTAGATAGTAGATTATAGTAATGCAATGAATGTCGAGCGTACATTTATATAAGTGAGCTCGTGACATTTAATTTTTATCTGTGTATTCTAAACAAATATACATGTATTTGACTCCCTTCACTCTCTCAGTTATGCTACCACTCCTCTGAATGAACCCTCATAACAAGAAGTCACAAGAAAATACATGTATTAACTTCAAAAACCGGAATTTTTGATCAATAAATTCCAAGTTAAGCCTTATTAAATAACTATAAAGCACGGGCCTTCATGCATCACCGTGAGTCTAGACTTTTGATCAATTGTTTAAATAATTAGTCATATTTTGGCAGCAGCGATACTACTATAAACGTTGAGTTAATTCTAAGCACGGGCCTTCTCCATTTTTGTCGTACATCACCCGTGGGTCTAGACTCCACTGACGATATATATATATATATATAAAATATATATATATATAAAACTTCTTTTGTGTGCTGTAGTGCAGTCAGAACAAGTGGTATCAGCGGAGTCGATCTGTATTGTTGACAGCGAGATACCTATTGAGTCCAATGGGCCAATGGATCAAAGATTTGTTGGTCAAGTGATGCCAAGAAATAGGGTTCCCATTGGAGATGATTGAAAAATTACCTTATTAAATTATATACATGACTTTTTCTCGGCCAATTATCATTGAAACAGTGATCTCATGGACCAAAGTCTAAAAAAATCAACTACGAATGTGATTAATGTCTTCAATTGTTAGAAGAGAATTCTTTTGATGCATGTACTTAAAAGATCTTTGATATACCGTATTTTTCATATGATTCTAACTTTTTTTTAATTTCGTGAATGAATGAATGATGTGCTCAAGCTTAATAATCATCTTCTCATTTAACCATTATCTGATATTAGGTAATAATGACAAAGACTCATTATTTTCAATATAAAGTAATTAAAATTTGAAAGAAAGTCTCAAAGAAACATAAAAAACAAATGCGAGTCCTGCATAGTCCTACCATAGCGACAATTTGCCACAATACAGCATAATATTTGTAATATGAAGCTTACAGATAAAAAAAAGTTGTATCGATATATGGAAATAATTATTAATCTCCTGGAATAACCGATAATCTTTATGCATAATAAAAATATGATTCGGAAACGCAATTTTTCCATTTGACGTTTCTCATGATGATCTTGTAAAATCGCATGATAAGTACATATGTATAGAGACACGGAATCTGTGATACTTAGATACTTACGAATTGTTAGTCTGTAACTTTCGTTGTCAACATTACAAACAATTAAATTTAAAAACATACATTATTAATTTGTGATACTGTGCTCTCTTTTTTATATATGGTATATTAATCACCAAATATATCATACAAATGGCTTTGATACATAAAAAAAAAAGGATCTAAGGCCAACTTTTCTATCCGAATTCTGGAACGGTCTGGATTGGGCGTCAATTTTGTAAAGTTCAGAGTGAGAGCGTTCTAGACAAGAATATATAAATGCAGCAGATAAGGATCTTATCTTATTTGCTTAGAAATTCAGCCATATTACCATAAAAAAGAAATGAAAAGGAGGCTTAACTGCTTGCTTCGTAACAAGTATTGTTCGCTTGTTTATTATTCTCATTAAAAAAATTCTTGGCAACAAGAAATCTTTATGCCCCTCTCAACGAAATTTGTTTACTTTGATAACTATTATCTCGATAATGAGGTTTTTAAGGATCGATAAGAATTGATTAAGTCTGGTGTTTAAGTTAAATGTTTGATTTTAACATAATAAAATATTAATTGTTCCATTACAAAATTTTAAGCTAGCTATTTCTTAATTTCCTTGGATAAAATATGCTTTTGTCTAGTTTTTGATTTTTAGAAGTTGCCCATTCGTAATAGTAATTTCTATAATTGTCTAGCTGATTTTCCCCCAGTCAAACATATGACATTTTACACTAAACTTTCTTCCACGATCATGTGTTACTACTATATTGAGCGTTCACTTTTTTTGTTAAGTTTGTTCTTATGTTAATCTTCTTCCTCGGTCTCGACGATTTCAAGTTCATTATGAACAAATAGTAATCTTTTCCCTTTTTCTTTTCAAATTTCTGAATTCTTTTTCAAGTTATCGAGCGTACTCTTAAGCCATGCACATCCCGTGTTTCAAGCATATAGAAAGTTCTTCTGCAAGCTTTAATATTTTCTTCCTATCATTAAAATTTTTGTGTTGATTATCTTAATTACCGAGTTCTTTCAAGATCCTTCAATTGCAGAGGTTTAACTCAAGCTCATAAATCTTTATATTTAGAAGGTAAAAATTTCTTTGTCCTAATGATGGTCTGATCGACATAAAAAAAATATACGAATTGTTAATTGAGATTTTGTGAAATTATTCCGGAAATATTAAGGTATCAGGAAATAATTCTAATCTAGTCTGTAAATATGATCATGAAAGTACTAATCCATCATATTTACAGAATTATATTTGATTATAGATTAATCAAACCGTGTAAGGATTATGATTACACGTCTCAGGATAAGTGAATTTACGCAAAGTCGATGCAATGGTGCTATAGCGAGTCTAATTGACGGGAACAACAGATTTTTTCATTTTCTACTTTATATTTTAATAATTAGTCTTGGGATGGCTGTGCCAAACTTAATCTATTCTCTCAGATAAATTAGATTAGGCTTATTCGTATAAAAATTGGGATAATGATCTATCTATGCGGTCTTCGTAGAGAAGATGGATACTCCCCGTTGCGTATTCTAATCTTTTACAAAAGTTTAATATGAGAATCATTTGATTTAATGGAACTACGAAAAAAGAGACTGTTATTTGTAATACGCAATGCGTGCTATAAAAATTCAATTGCAATTCCGTAATTTCTGAATAAATGTACTGCATGTACGAAGATTTTTTGCAATTTTTAAATACCTAAATAATTTATATCAAGTAATATTCAAAACACAAGAATGAATAATACATAATTCACCAGCTAAACCTACCAAAAAAAGGTAATTGGGACAAGTTTATCTATTGGCTCTATAGAAAATTATCTTATAAGAGGTTGTTCCTTATAAGGTTTTTTATGGAGGGTCTGACTGTATATACATGTAGAATGTTACTAACCGCTGTTTATTCCCTATTTGTAAATTCGATTTACATTAATAATTGCTTCTTAGAACTTGCCAAAAAATATTGGAATATTTTCCCGAAATTCATTGAATTTCACTCTTGATGCTTTGGTAATTTATTGTAAAACATGATAAGAAGAATAGTTATTATCGTATTATCATAATAGAATGTATTATATTGTTACTTAATATAACGATAAACTTTAATATATCGTCAGAATTCGATATGATGTATTATGATGTAGAAAATAATCTCCATCCTCATTAATAAATATTTTGCGTATTTTTTCATATACACGTATTAAAATTAAATAGTGATAAAATCTTATTCAATGAGAAATTTAAATATTTCATGCTACATGTATAACATGCTGAAACATATTTTTACTTATACAGCACAGAAACAGGATATGTTAAATAAAATATAAATTACGGAATGGTTGGACAATTAAGTATGAAAAAGGTTAGGCATGATGGCATAGGTGATCTTGCAGAATATTGAATCAAATGCTTACCTGAATAGTACATATTATTAACTCTATTCAACATTGTTTATATTTAATACAGCAATATTGTGATCAAATATTTTATCAAATACATTATTTGTTATTAATAATACGTACGTATACGCATAATTATATAAATACTTGCATAAAAAACATGTCATAAATTGTTTCTATTTTTCGCTTTTCGTATTAACACATCTAAAAAAAATGCAACATTCTGTTAAAATATCTGCTTATTGTTACTGCACCTGCAATCAAGAATACCGGCTGAAAATATGATGTTTTCATTAATGACCTTTCAATTTACACAAACAATTCGGCAAAATTAAAGCGCTCTTTTAAGACGTAAGCTTCATGAAGGAACACGAAATTCATATAAGTAACGAGATAATTTTATAAAAATATTTACCGTCGTCTTTTATTTCCGTGAAAAAAAAAGGTTCTTAAACTACGATATACAGCCAGAACTTTCTAAATCCAACCTCTCTAAATGCATACACCATGCCTACCCTCCATAAAATCGCTATAATTTTAGTCTCAAGTATATTTTAGGTATTTTATCCTCCGTAAATGCAATTTTCTTTAAATGCCTGATTTTTCTCGGAAGTCTAACTTATATCTGTCTCCATTAGCCGGAAAAGTAGCCTATATAAATTACAACTTATTGCGGATCTGCTGTCAGTATTTAGTGATGCTTTTTTATTATAGTATCTTAAATGAAATTCACCGATTATTACATTCAAGTAATATTACTAAGACTTTATTGCTATAGCAATTTTTTATTATAAAAATATCCTGATTAGAAATTTGCTATCAATTCTGTCAAAAGTTCTAAAAAAATTCTCAATAAATATTTGGTTAATTTCTAAATTTTCCTAATTATTTATCATCTTTAATTATTAAGTTCTATAATAATAGATTAAATAATTTTTATTTTATCTAAACTAAATTAATAAAATACCGTAAATCGCATTGCAAAATACCCGGGGTCTCTAACCAACTACACATGATTATCTGGTAGTATACCCTCCGGGTACAGTTGAAGGATCTTGTGTTAAGGGGATATACTATTTAGGGGATCTTGTATTAGAAAATCAAATTACAATAAGCCAAGTCAAGGTTTTTTTGCTTGGCAATTGATTAAATATTTTTTCTAAAGAAAAACAGCTTACATTTCCAATATTTTTACAATATTCATAATATTATAATATATTTAACAAATTTTAAGATCACGAATTGCAATTCTAATTTTCTATTTTTATTCCTACTTTTTATCCATCTCTAATTCTAATGTGAAAATTTTGATATGTTTTTTTGCATCCTAAAGATGATTTGAACAATTGATAAGACTAGACTTACTTAAAAAAAGAAATATTAATAGATAACTCGTGAAAAATTATTCTATCTTGAGAAAGTTTCAGATATCTCTGTTCATGGAATGGCTAATAGATTTAATCTATAATTCAAATAAATTCATGATGGATATAATAAAAAACAAGAACTAATACTTACTCAGTCTTATCTAAAATATCTTAATTCTGATTTATATCTCTGTTATTCTAAAATTGAAGATGAGCTTATAAAATAGATTAAAGATTTTCACTATGAATTAAAAGTTATTATTTACTTAATAATTCAAATAAAGATAGCTAAGAGAATAATAACTAAGTTATTATTTATAAAACTTATATAAGACAGATTGAAAAAATATAAATAAAGATCATATAAAATAGAAATTGATAAAATATTGACTGCTTTTAATATTTTTTATATTATTTATACAATATTAATATCTAAATAAATATTTACACAGCTATCTTAGTTAAAAATATTAAATATATCACTTAATATTTTAATATTAATTTCTTTAAGTAAAGTAATAAATAATTAAATAACTTTATATAATAATTTAAATTTAGTCATTATTAAAAAATAATTATCACTTAAAAATTACCTGAGAAACTTAAAGAAAATTATTAAAAATTTTT